AAAATCAACAGTGGCTCAAAGAGATTGAGAACAAAGATGTACTGCACAAGTTTTGAATTACACATGTATATGAAGATCTCAACTAATCATGGGACAAACAAATATAGTTATGCAATAATTACCAGTTGGCTTTATCCTAACAAGATCATGACTTACACTATGAAGAGGAAGATAGCTTAACCTCAACAGAATATATACAACAAAAGTTCATGAAAAGAAGATAGTTTAACTCAAGCAAGATAGTTTCCTACAAATGTATACAACAGTCGAGTATGATCATGAGAAGGTTATAGTGATAGCTCAGAGATCACCCTCAGAGTTAGTAGATACAGATGCAGAGAAGGAAAGTATCTAATCACTTAGATTCTTTCACCTTAGTTTAGTGATATGGACACATTGAACTTTCAGATATATCTCAACTAGGATCATCAAATAATGAACTCAACAATAAGGCAAATAAGATGCAAAGAACAATATGAAGATCACAACAGAATCATTAGTGGAGGGAAAAACATGAAGTTTAGGTACGCATGATTGGTTTAACAATAGTGGCTAAACAAAGTAAAAGACTGTAGTAGTAACTCAGAAAAACAGTTAGACAAATGCAAGCAGAGACACTTCAAGTTTAGGCTCAAGGTTAAAGGCAAGGGGATATAAGTCATCTTAGTTATATTATCAGGTATTAAACTCAATTTCAAAGCTCACAAAAAATTACAGAGGTGTAACAAGACAGAGATGAGCTTACTGCAAGTTAATGAGAATTATGAAGTTCATATTGAACATAAACACATAAGAACTTAGGCATGTAGACTGTAGGAAAGCTCGGAACAAAGATTAATAATTATCAATGACTTAATCGATTATCACTTAAAGAATCATAACAGAACAAGCTGACCACAAAAGGTCAACAAACTAACAAAGCATAAATATCAAACATGTCAAACACATATAGAATAATTATAATCTATAGAACCTATCTCAGTATACTCTTGTCATTCAAGGAGACGAACAAATGAGAAAAGTGAGAGAGAGAGAGAGGTGCTGACCTTTTCGAGGGAAGCAGACCAAACGAACTCTCTTTGTTGCTCAAAATTCCCAGAACCTCGAGGTTAAACCAGCGATAGAACTCAGCAAAAGAGAGAGAAAACAGTAAGAAATCTAAGAAGGGAAACCCTAAATAACTCAGTGTCTTTGTGTGCTTATTGCGTGTTCGTATCTGTGTGTTAGGTGAGAGCATTGAAGACCCCTTTTATAGTGTCATTTAAGGCTTTAGGGTTTCAAATTTCAAACTAATATAGTGGAGAGCGATGATGAATTGATGATGTAAGCATAGTCGGGTAAAATCATAAAGAATAGAGGGGAAATCAGTGTCGATTTTACCTGAGTATGAGAGATATGAGAGACTGAACGTTGAAGCATAAGAGGCCATCGGTCAGAACCCTAATACCCATAGGTCATTGCATTTGACCTCTAGGTGTTGAATATAAATTATGAAGCCAGCTAACATCTCATGCTTGCTTCGATTTGAAAGGACGAAAGAAGAAATCCGGCGAGTTGAAGTTTCATCTTTTTTGTCTGACTTCTTCGATTAGGGCTTTTGAAATCGAATGGTGAAAATTGAAAAAATGATGAGATCAGGAGTACAGGAACAAAATGAATGACCATGCATGCCATGGATTTGAAAGGTCAATGGCGATTTGAGGTTTCATCTCTGGGGGTTAGGGTTCGGATTTGGGGGAATTTGAATTTTGATGGTAAAACAGGAAAAGATTCAGCGAGAATCGTGGATATGAGAGACGAATGAGATGATTTGAAGTTAATTTTAAGACATTGCACTAATTTGTGCAAGGTCTGTTGATTGATGGAGCTGGGGCAGAAGAGAGATGAAGGGGAAAGAAGGGCGGCTGGGCAGGTGACAAATGATTTAGGGTTTTTGGGGTATTAGGGGGCCATCTCTAAGGTTAAAGATAGGAGATAGGATCTGGTCCGTTGGATCTGGTGATCAACGGCCCTGAAATTTCAAGCATTTAAGGGTTTTTAAAAATGAATTTTAATGGCCATTGGATCATAATATTTGGACGGTGGAGATGGGATCTTTGGGCGGATGTTTAAAAATTAAAGGAAAATTAGAGATTAAATGTGAGTCGTTGATTAGATGGATCAACGGGTTAGATGCATGTGTGTTTGTTTTGTGTGTGATAAATGAGGGTGACGTGGCACGATCTCATTGGTTCAATGAGAATGACATGGATTGCCAAGTTGAAAGGGGATGGGGTATTTGGACTGGGTCAATTCCGAATTGGGCCTGGTATTGAGCTGGAATTGATTTAGGGAATAGCCACTTTGTATTTAATTGAAGAATTGCAAATGTAGCCTTTTAGTTTTTAACCCTTTTAAAATTAATTTAAATAAGCTTAACAATTACAATAAAATGTGATAAAATTATAATTATTATATATGTTACTAATTAATTATCTATAAATAACGCATATTTCGAATTATAGCACTAATTTCAAAATATTAACATAGTAACCTAATTCACTAGAAATTAAGGAGTAAATTTGTCAAATTAATTATAAAACCTATGTAATGTATATACAAAAATTATTTTAATAATCTTAAGATAGTAAATACATTTGTAATTATATAATATTAATACTACGTGATTAATTTAAGACTAGTACTTAATTAATTTGTAAAAAATAGATATTCATTAATAGAAAATACTTTTAAAGTGTTCATTGTAAATTATTAAGTTTGAATAAATTAGTTTTAAAAGGGAGGGTTAAAATTGGCTGTCAACACGACCCAACCCAAGCCTACACTGACTTCGCAAAATGCGAATGGGGAAGTCGCATTTGCGACATCTGACCTCCCCTGCCCACTTCGGAATTGCGAGGCTGGTGCTAGTAATTGCGACATCAGAGCACCAGCACACTAGCAAATCTTGTTTTTAGTCCAAACCATTCCGAGACGCGTCAGAAACTCATCCGAGCCCTCGGGGCTCCAAACCAAACAACCACACTAGTCTAAAAACATCATACGAACTCGCTCGCGCTATCAAAACACAAAAATAACATCTAGAACTATGAATCGGAAATCAAAACGAATGAATTTCAAAGAAAAGTTCAAGAACCTCTAGAATTGCAACCAAGCGTTCGAATCCTATCAAATCAACTCCAAACGACACCAAATTTTGTAGATAAGTTCTAAATAGCATAACGGACCTATTCCAAGTCCCAAAATCAAATTTCGAACCCGATAACCAAAAGTCAACCTATGGTCAAACTTGGAAAAAATCTTCTAAAACTCAAATTTCCATCTTTCTGCAAAACAACACAAATCAATCTACGGACCTCCGAATTCGATTTCGGGCATACGCCCAATTTCAAAATCACGATACGAACCTATCGGAGCCATCAAAATACCGTTCCGGGGTCGCTTTTACAAAAGTCAAAGTTTGGTCAACACTTTCAACTTAGACTTCTTAGTCATGAACCAAAGGGTCCAAATCAACCAGAAACCTTCCCGTAACGAGACTAACCAACCTCGCAAGTCATAAAACCACAAATGCACATGTGTGAAGCATCAAAAGGAAAAACGGGGTGCAAATACATAAAACGACATGTCGGATCGTTGCAGGGGAGGGGCTTAGGAATTAGAGCTATCATACCTTCTAATTAGTTATTGCAAAATTTGAGGAATCTCATTGTTGCTACTGTTTTTGTGCTATTGCAGACGACTATGAAGCCAAGTCTAGAATAGCCATGGTTACAAGAGCCATGCATTCAAATCACTAGAATACGATTAACCACTAAGTTCAACTTTAAACCCACAATCAACGTGCAATATTTCTAGGTTTATTTACATTTTCTCAATGAAAAGAAGAGTATCGTTATTGGGGCAAATATTAAATGCACCATATCGCTTTCCAAATTCCAATTAACTTATTGGGCGTGGCAATTCACTTGTTTATTCAGTAAAATCAAAAATTGTATGAAAACATCATTCACATCCAGTAATAATCGACAACTTAAAAAACTGGATGGAAGGACATTGTAGTGTAAAAAATAATATTAATCTAACTTAAAAAGAAGATAATTTTGAACAAAATAAACTTGGATTTTATTTGGCAAACACATATTTGACCATAGATTTTACCTACATTTTGGCAAAATCCCAAATTCCAATGGCCAAAATATCACTATTATATTTTTAAAAAATTGCCCCAAACTTTTTTATTTTATAAAAGAGCCCACAATTTATTATTTTGTAACGATGTTGCTTCGTCTTCTCGGTCATCTGATAGTGTATCATGTAGTTCATTATAAAAATAATAATTTTGTATCAAATTTATTTATGTTCAGGACTATAGTTTGCAATAATACAATGAATGTTATTGATAATAGTACTGTTGGGTATTTGTGATAGTTTTTAGAACTTGTGGGTATAAGTCATATTTCAAGTTTTTCCAAACCAAACTTCACCCAAAACAGATGTCCAAACACATTTTCATCTTTAAACTAAACTTTACACAAATCAGATTTTTCAGAATAAATTTGGGAATCTATGGCCAAACGCTAGCTAACTCGTTGCTACCGGGAAGCATTGAATTTTTATTTTATATGTATGGGTAGTTAAGTTTTTAAGAAGGGTATATTAGTAATTTAATTTTTAAGTTAAAGATAATATATATATATATATCATGATTACCCAAACAGAGCCTAAAAGTTGGATATAATATGTCGATTTTGTTGACGGTCTTATAAGTAATAACTAACATTTAAACAAAATCTAAAAGGTGATTCCCTGAATATAAGAGGACTAATTGTTGTTTTCTAAACTTAAGAGCAAGTTTTAGCATAAGACTTCCATTCCCAAGGCCTATCACTATCAGCCAATCGGGTGCGTACATTACCAAAATTTCAAACCTCAAGGATCTATTTGTAACTTTTCCAAACTTCAGGTGCTCCAAATGAATATAATCACTTTATAAGAACAAGACTATAACTAGCTCTGGTGGTGCTCAACTGTCGTATCCGTCGCGCCGTTCCCGGAAAGGTAATCGGAGTACATCAGAACGATAAACACTGGACAGCGAAAAGTAGAAACTAAGGCTTTTTCGTCTTTCAATGTTACAGAGGCGCTTGTTTTGCACGAGGATTTCGAAAACCATTTTCCAATCAAACCCCGGACATAACCAGAGCAAATGGAGTGTAAAGCAAGTTTCAAAGTCCAATTTCTCAGCGGCATTAGAAGAGATAAGTACTTTCATCTCCGACTCTGATTTCATCGCCGTCTCATTGAAGAATACTGGGGCCTACTCTGCACCCTGGCAGCGTATTCTGCCAATTGACACCGCACACACCGCCTATCTCAAAGCCAAATACGCCGCTGAACGGTTTCAGGTCCTTCAGTTCGCCGTTTGCCCTTTCTCCATTAGAGGTTCCAAGCTCATCGTTCACCCGTGCGTTACTTTTAACTCACTCATCTCTCTCTCTCTCTCTCTCTCTCTCTCTCTCTCTCTCTCTCTCTCTCTCTCTCTCTCTCTCTCTGTTTTAATTTTTAAATTTCAAATCGCAAGATTGTGCTTTTAATTAATTTTCTGTTCAATCAGTAGTAATGTGTCTTTAATTAATTTTCGCTTGCGTGTGTGAATTATCTACTGAAGAGGTTACAGTTAAATGTTGGGGCACATTGGAAGAAGCATGTTTTTTTCGCATGTGCCAGCTGGTCGTGCATAGAAAAAGAAGATGAGGAAAGGGTATTGTGTAGATGCAGTAGTATATGCAGTTTTCTTCATCAGATTTGCATCATTATTTTGAACTTTCAAACCCCAGAAAATCTCACATTTGCTATTGATTCCGGGGATTTAAAAGGAGAAAGAAATGTGGCTGAAGGTATCTTACCGGAAGAAATAGGATAAATGGTACTTTTTGGTTTAGAACTACAGATGGTATAGTGCTGAGATTTCGTAATGTTGCTTTCTTTGTAGCCTAATAAACACCATTGGTACTTCTCATTGCTTGAGAACATAATTTTGAGTGTTAATAGTCTTTGTCTGCTCTTTACAGTTTGGATTTCTTTTTCCCAAACCCTTCAAAATCTTTTTGGCAATTTTGATGGTGGCACAGTGATATATCTACATAGGCATCAGATGTCCGTGATGGTGGCATCAGTAGTTGTTTTATGGTGGCTCATAGAAACAACTTCACCCAGTTTTATGAATGTTTTTCTTCTTCTTTCCTTTCATTTTAACTCTGGTTGACGATTATGCTCAACTTTTTTTCAACAAAAAAAAAAATGATAATGAAGAAAATGTTGTGTTCGCTCTTTCTTGTGTTAGTTAGGTGCTGGTGTAATTGAACTATTTTAGATGAAAGATTAGTGGCTACACTTATAATTTCTAAGTTGAAGAATGATGATTTTGTCTGGAAAAAAAAAACATGAAACGTGAATAACAAATGTTTTGTGCTTTTGGTGCAGATACAACTTTCATTTGTTCCCTCGTGATGAGTTAAAAATAGGGATGCCTTCTTATAGTTTCTCTTGTCAATCATCATATTTGACCTCTATGGCTCGAGAAGGTTTTGATTTCAATGCCTGCATATATGATGGTAAGCTGAGCTAGACCGGTTTGAAATGTAATGCATCACTGACATGTTTCCGTTAAGTATTCATTTTGACTTTGAATCTTAATTGCTTTCATTGTACTCTTTTTTAATAATAGTTGTTACTGTTTTCTCCTGCATACCTTTTGCTGCCAGAGTAGCTTTTGACTGAAAGCTGGAATTAACCTTCCTGTCCCCTACCTTTCTTGATCTGACAGGCATATCATATTTATCCAGATCGCAAGAATCAGCTGCAATAGATAGAATTGGAAATGCATCACATATTACCTGTACAGTGCAATCTCCATCAGGGCATACAGTTGCTGATTCCGTATTTGCAGAGAGGATCAAATCTCGACTTAAGCGTTGGATAAGTGCTTGCAGAGACACCAACAAGAAGCCTGAAGGTGAGCAAAATGGTATTGATTATTTTTGTCAATCCAACTCTTCTCTGCTCTCTCATTTATACTCGTGACATCTTCCAGATGCTTTAATCAGTTCCTTGAGAAAAATTGTCTCGGGAGATGAAGTATATGGATCCAGACCATGCTTGAGCATAGATGTATGCAGTGAACGTCAAGTGCACCTTGTGTTGGAGGTTTCTATCTTGTCTCTTTTACCTTTTGAATTATTCTCTTGAATTTTGAACCCCCCCCCCCCAAAAAAAAAGAAGCTAGAGATGCTGTTTATGGTAGGTTACAATAATCCAAATTTGATTATGTCTGAACAAGGATGTTTTATTCTTTCAATTGTTGTCAATCTTGAAGGTCCTGCATATTCCATTATATTGAATCAAAAATCACTTGAAGTTTAAACTGATATTTGTTGAACTTTTATATTGGGTCAGACACTGAAGGATTTTGTTGATGTCATACCTTTACTAACCCCAGCAAAGGGAGGGACGACAATGTCTGTTCGAGTTGTTTTGACAAGTTCAGAAGAAGACAAGATTCTTTTACAGGTAATTAACTAGCTTACAGTCTTTGTTTGTAATGCTTGTTAATGACTCATTTCCTCCTCTGGATATTGCTTTATACTCACAGAAGGAACTTCAAAATGAGGAGAAGGAGCATAATAAGCGCATTCGTGGCTTTCGAGAGGTGATCGATTTGATTTCCGCTTCTCAGAAACCCGTTGTTGCCCACAACTCTCTTAATGGTCAATCTCTAAGTGGAAAATTTTGCTCATGTTAGAATTTGTGGCTCCCATACCTTTGTGATATTTACACATGTTGTATTTTCTTCGGCAGATTTTACCTTTGTCCATTCCAAGTTCTTAGCTCCATTGCCATCAACGCTGGATGAATTCAAAAGTTCATTATGTGAGGTCCTCCCAAATGTACTTGATGTCAACCATCTTATGAAGGAAATCAGCCCTCTGAAAAAAGTGAACAATTTGCCTGCAAGTATCTCATATTTGAAACAAAGATTTTTTGCCCCTATTGATATGGAGATATCTAACCAAGGCAAGTACCCCCAACATCATGAGTCGCGAGTTAGAACAATCGTATTTCCACCTTTCTTTATAACAGGGAGATCGGTTTTATGGCCCATTACAAGTGTTATTTGAGTTATATAGCCCTTTTCACGGGAGATCGATAGAAATTAATACAGGAGATTAGTAAATAAAATATATGTAGGATCATTTTTCTGCAATTCAAATTGTAACTGGTTATAGGAGATCATTTCCTCCTTTATAACGTGGTTATGCTTATAAACACTTGCAGCATGTAGCCAGCGGGAAATGGCAATATTCCTGTGAAGGAAGTTTTCCTTCTTGCTAATTTATTACAACATTTTTATGTTTAAAAACCTACCTATTCTAGATTCTCTCTCATCTCCCTCCACCCCTTCCCCAAATTTTTCTCTTTTAGTTATGTTGCTAATTGGACTCCACTATTTCTGGTTTTGCATGTAAAATTGCCATTTGGTTTCTTTTTCAACTGTTTAGTTCAATTCTAATCAATGTTAAATTACTTACAGCAGCTGAGGCCACGGAAGTGAAGACTCTTGGACATGATGTTTTGAAGATAAGCGAATTGTTTGCGAAGCTGTACTCCATACTAAGAATTGCACCAAAAGCTCCTGAAGCTGCTGAGGGCCATTTGCCTGATGCAATTGAATGCTACTTAAACTTGTTCAACCCTTGCTTTGCCAGTTCTCATGGTCTTGCTGATGAAGGTGTTAGTGTGTGGACTGATAGTACTAGAAAAATTAGTATTAAGAATCTAGTTTTCCTATGGGGATTCAGGGGTGGGACATCTGCAGGACAGCTGAAAAGCCTCCTACATGGTTCACATGAAGTTCTCCATAATGAATTTGATGTTAGGCTAGTGGATAAAAGTTGTGCTGTAGTTGTTTTTGGGAACCCTGGCTTTTCGGAAGTCCTGTTGCAGCTAATGGATTCTGGAGGTATCTGTACTAGTATCCTGAAGGAGATGCTGGCAGACGGCCTGACAGCCGCAGGTTATGAGGCGTACCAAAAAGTCTGTGAGTTAGGTCTATGGGAAGCAGATTTGGCCAGTTCATTCGAAAGGGCTTTGGAAGAAAATGATAGCTTCTCAGAAGCTCACTCACAGGAGCTTCCAGGGATATGTTGGAATAATGATGAAATGATTAACCTGGATGACCTTTAAGACAGCTCCTTAAATCTGATTCATATCTAACATTACAAGAGCCAAGAGAGGCTGCTTTCTGGTCAGTGGCGAGTTGATATACTATGATCCTATAGATTTTGTTGGTGGCCTTTTATTGCCATTGGAGATGTATGCAGGAATCAAATTGATAATTGATGCATCAAATGGAGTGAGTAGCTGCTGACATGGAACATTCAGCCATTGAATTTAAGTAAACAGGTATCCTAAGATTGATGGCATTTGCTTCTTTCAGGGTGGTCATGTATTTTTTGGACGATGAGATCTTAGGATAGCTGAATGTTGGAGGATAATTCAGTAGAGTGGCATTATTTGGTGTAGCAAAGAATCTGTTTATTGGGTCGTCGTTTTCCTTTTCCCCCTTGAAGTTCTTGCCAAGTTTCTAATCAGGTGGTGTATGTTTGAAGTTTTAGAGTTTGCAAACATTGAGTGTTTGCATGTGAAGCAAAAGTGTAATGAGATTACTTCCATAATGTCTTTTTCTCAGTTGATGTCTAAAAGCCTATCCAACGCTCTTTTTGAGCATTAGACCATTGTTAAACAAAACATAAATAATTCAAGCTATCAAATATATGAAACTATGCTGATTATGATACTTTTTATCCTTTGTGTCTCTGTGCTTTAATGTTCAATTATACTTCCAGGGATGCCTACGCTACTTTTTTACGCATGAAAAGCCAGATGGGATTTTTAGTTTCAGTTCTCAAATATCAAACTAATCAAAAAATGTTCTCCAAATATGGAATGCAAGTGCATTCTACATACTGCCATAGTTTTTCTTGAAACTCTTCATAAGATATACACCTCTCTTTATCTTGATATCTAGTTTCCAAACTTAGTGAAGTCCCCATACCCGGTAACCCAGCCTCAATTTTTCAATTTATGAGCATTGTACACTTATATTTATCTTGAAATAAAGCAAAAACAGAAGACGGATAAGACGAACATATTGATAAGCAGATTAAAGGTGTCCTCACATCGCATACACACTTAAGAGATAAATTTACACCAATTTTTACTTTTAGGGGGATGATTTTGATTATTTTATTAGGTAATCTTCTTTAACGTTGAGACCTGAAAATTGCAAATCTGGAAGACGGATTATGTTCAAATTTTAATACTCCATTAGACTTTATGGCACGTTTTACAATATTTTATTGCAAGTTGAATCCAGAAATGCCAGAAGTGGAAGCAGATCTCGCAGCAAACAGCTAGCTTTGCTGCACCTGCTCTTCTTAGTTAGCTAAAGCTAAAACTGTTGAACATTTGCACGCTGACACGAAAAGCAAACTCAAAAAAGAGTAGCTCTGCAGCAGAAAATCGAAAAAAATGGCAGCGATGGCCTTGAAAATTACAATAAACTCTAATCCCAATACCAACGGTGTACTTGCGCCTCCTCCGAACAAGCTACAGGCTCATCTTTTACCCTCAAATCAAAAGATTTTTGGCCGAAGAGTCCTCGGGAGTACACCTCTCTCATTGAAACGAAGTAAAAGGAATTGGCATGTGCCACTTCGAGTTTCGAGTTCGAGTCAATCTTCCGCGTCAAACCCCTTTGATGTTGTCATAATTGGTGCCGGAATCATTGGGTTGACCATCGCCCGCCACTTGCTCCTTTCCTCTGATCTCTCCGTCGCCCTAGTTGATGCTGCTGTTCCTTGCTCGGGCGCAACTGGAGCAGGTAAAAATTTATCGATACTTTGACGACCAGACCCCAAATTATTGGATATTGGAATGAAATGAGTCCAAATAGAGCGGAATGGATAGTGAGGATTTATATGCCGACCCAACTAGCTTGGAATGGAGTAGTAGTAGTAGTTATTGTTGTTGTATAGTTGACCCCAACTAGTTAGGAATCAATGTCTAGTAGTAGTTTTGTTGTTATGGTTGTATTATATTCTTATCAGAGGCGGACTACTCAGGATTTGAACTTTATTAGTTCCACTTCAAAATCGTACCGTAGTTCATTTAATTTACTGCGTTCCAAATCTATCATTTATACTAAGTGGGATTTTTAACACATACAGGATCTGAGCTTTCGGATGAACCCATATCTGTTCGCCCCCGATTCTTATGCGTGCCGTCTTGGCTAAATGCTGTATATATCTTTAGTTGCACATGCCTCTAATCACGAAACTGATATGATCTAATATGCACAATGTACAGTTTTCCACAAAGGGTACAATATCAGAGTGGGTGAATCAAGTTTAAAGTCTTTGACTCTTTTAATCCACATGCTTAATACAACGAGAATTAACTCAAGTTTATTCAAATTCACGAGCTATGCCAGTGTATTGATTGTAGTTAGATTACCCACAAATATCAACTGAATAAGTATGGCAATGGTAAGTCTTTACACCTCTTACATTAGAAGAAGTTAATTTGTTTTTTATAATAACTATTTAAAGTGTTAACATTTAGCGTTTCAAATTTCTTCATAAACTTCTCTAAGGTAGTTGAACACGTTATAAGCTCTTATTCTCTCACCCTAGAAATTTGGAGAACATCATCTGCTGGCATGTCATTTTAAGGAGGAACTTATCGAATGATATTCTATTCCTACTGTTTCCGGTGTCTTGACTGATTAATTGTGGATTTTTCTTTACATTTTCGTTGGCATTTGAGCCTGGTTCTAGGTCAAGGATACATATGGAAGGCACACAAATTGCCAGGTACTGATAAGTGGAAATTAATGATGAGAAGCCATCAATTATGGGAGAGCCTAGCCAAGAGCATTCAACTTCAAAGCATGGATCCTTTAGAGGTACTTGGCTGGAAGAAGACAGGTGACTTAATATCCTCTATGTATCTGCCTTTCAGTTATTCTACTTGCCGCTGTTTAGTCAAGGGGCTTTAAGCGCAAAACGCAACTAAAGTGTGGGCTTAAATAAAAAAGGCACATTGAACTGAAAAAATAAAAAAATATATTTAATTTGGGAAAAAAGTAACAAATTCATTCATAATATTTTCCTTAACAGCTAATATACCTATTATATTTGTTGTTTAGTGCCGGTTGATTAAAGACAGAACTCATAGGCAACAAGGTGCACGCCTTAGTGTCTTGTCTCATATTGAAGTGCAACTTAAGCAAGGTGAAGTGGCCTCCTTGAGCTTTTCTCAGCTTCGGGGCTTAAGCGGCCTTAAATGAGCCTTTGACAACACAGAGTCAACTTACATTAACTCTGTACTATTTAAGACTTTAGCAATGAATCTGGAAATTTATCATGTTATATGTCTTGCTATTCTGACCAATGTGTTTCTGAGTGCTACTTAAGCAGCCCAAGGGGTTAGAATATGATCGAAGAATCGTGAAATATCACATCATTTTCCTGTCTTTTAGAAGACATTTTCAGTACTGAGGAGGTCTGTTCCTCCTTAATGGTACACATGCTCAATTGTTAATCTTTTTCCTTTTTCTAGAACGCTCATTTACAAATGACAAAAGGTGGTATATTCTAGGACATCAGTCTGGAAGATTTTTCAGGTCTGAGACAATTCTGGTAAATGCAAAAGTTAAAGTCACTTCATATTTGTCTAGTCCTTCTCTGTTTAATAGACTTTCTGCAACAGAGAGCCCAACATTCTTTCAGTCTGTTCAAAATTGCTAGATTGGCGCTCATTCTTTGCAACTCCGCACCTCGTGAGCTAACTTTTGGGGTTGAGTTAGCCCAAGGTCCACTTTCTTAACATGATATCACAGCCACATCCATTTTGTTCTTGGTTTACCCAATATTAGACCCCCATGTCATGTCATTCATGCTCCAATTGGCAGGGTTGGTGTGCAAGGGGGGAGGGTGTTAGATTGTCCCATATTGGTTGAGGGAACATGTTGTTGTCTCCTTGTATGGTCTTGGGCAATCCTCATGACTCGAGTTGAGTTAGGCCTAAGGACCATTTTCTTAACAAATATAATGTGGATTTTGCTTTATACTGTTCATTTGAAGGCATGCTGACCAATTTATTTGGGACTGAGGCGTAGTTGTTGTTCATTTGAAGGCATCTTTCACCTTTTTTTTTCCTCCAGTATACATCCTTTTTTTGTAAACACAATTTAGAAAGCAATTCTAGTTGATATCTCATGTAAAGGGATGGTATGGAGTTTGCTCTTCTCCTGCCCTTCCCTTATACCTATCTCACGTGCACAGGCTAAACAAAACCTTTCTTCTGTAATAACCGTTACTATCTCAGTCCTATCATATTAAAGAGTGTAGGGGAAACCACTGAGTGAAGTTCTTATTATCTGGCAGGAAGCCTTTTAGTTAGTAAAACAGCAGATGAGTCAGCAATGTTAAGAAGGAGGGTAGAGGAGCTATCACAGGAGGGGCTGAGAGCAGAGTTCTTGTCCACCAATGACTTGCTATCAGAAGAACCAGAACTTGTGCTTGAGAAGGAAGGTGGAGCAGCTTTTTTCCCTGATGACTGCCAATTGGACGCTCACCGTACTGTTGCATTTATTGAGAAGGTCTGTTCCCTTGCCTTCTTTCTCTCATTCTTCCTTCTCTTCCACTTTGGTTCCTTCTTCAGGAATAATCTTTAGTGTTCTTCTCTCCGGGTTATCTTACAATTCTTATATATGAAATTATTTAAGTCGTTGATCATTGTCCAGGGTAACAGGCGTTTTGCTGTTGAAGGGAGATATGCTGAATTTTATCATGACCCAGCTATTGGATTAGTTAGGTTTGGCAGTTTCCATTTTTATTGATGTTTGAACTATTACTTGTCCATGTAATCACTATATTAATAAATTTCAAATTCAGACCTGAAAATAGCTGCGAGGTTGGAGCTGTTCAAACTTCCAAGACTACATTGCATAGTAAGAAGGCTGTTGTAATTGCAGCAGGTTGTTGGACTGGGTCTTTGATGCATGACCTGATTAAGCAACCAGATATCGAGCTCGATCTTCCAATAAAGCCTCGAAAGGTTTTGGATAAGATGTAACATGCCCATTGCGTTGTTTTTTTTGTCCCATTTGTTTTTTCGTCTTATTATCTTTCTTTTTTTTTTGTTTGTTTGCTAACGCACCCGTAGTGGGTGTGTTTGTCATCTTATTGAAGAAAGAATAAAGGAGTAAAAGAAAAAGAGATTTAAATATTTGGTTTAAGAGAAACCATTATTTGTTGATCTTTTGTGGATCAACAAATAGACCCTTGTGGTCCGGCCTTTCCCCTGACCCCGCGCATAGCGGGAGTTCAGTGCACCGGGCTGGCCTTTTTTTTTTTGTGGATGCACAATTTTTAGTCATCTGTCTCATTGCTACAACCAAATGGCACATAAAGTGGAAGAAGGGGATGCATGGAAGTGACTACACTCATTCACATGCCGATGCTCATATACCAGCTCGGACCAGACCATTACTGATATCTCTTATTTCACTCTCGNGAGAGTTATATCTGATTCATGGTTCTTCACATGCATATGCTAGTTTGTAAGCCACCATTTCTTACCCTTGCCCTCTCTGTTAGTTCAGAGCATTTCTTTAAATTCAGCTGATTCCTTGTTTTGCCTTAATAAGTTTTCAGAGCCTGCAATGTAAGCAACATAAATCCATACAATACTTTAAAGTAAACATGTGATGTTTTGTGGATATGTAACTCGATGCTCACCTGATAATAGTACGAACTATACTTTCGTTTGATCCCCTGCCTCCCCCCTCGAGTGAACCGCTTTATTGTTAATTCATATTTCCGTTACTTCTATGGAGGGATTGCTAGATAACCCAATTGGGAGAGTTATATCTGATTCATGGTTCTTCACATGCATATGCTAGTTTGTAAGCCACCATTTCTTAACCTTGCCCTCTCTGTGAGTTCAGAGCATTTCTTTAAGTTCAGCTGATTCCTTGTTTTGCCTTAATAAGTTTTCAGATCCTGCAATGTAAGCAACATAAATCCATACAATACTTTAAAGTAAACATGTGATGTTTTGTGGATATGTAACTCGATGCTCACCTGATAATAGTACGAACTATACTTTCGTTTGATCCCCTGCCTCCCCCCTCGAGTGGACCGCTTTATTGTTAATTCATATTTCCGTTACTTCTATGGAGGGATTGCTAGATAACCCAAGTTACAAGCTTATTCGGAAAAAAGAGAGAGAGCATAAAACGAGAAAGAAGAGAAATGAAATCAAAAGTTGCTCCATGACTTCTTATATCAGCATATGGCATCTGTATTGATCCACTTCCTTTATCGCTTTAACTGGTTATTAACTTTAAATAAGATATCGTTTTACAAGCTCAAGCTACAAACTCTCAGAAGTTAGAAGAATTTGAATCTCATAATGGGCTGTCTGTGCGTCATTCTAAATCGGGCCTTAAACGAATCCAAGATTGTCAATGAGTGTCCTTACAGTACTGTCTATAGTTCCTAAGCCTATCCAGCTCAAATAGGGAGATCAGTAAGTGAATATCAATATAAAAAAAGGTGAAGACAGTGGACATAGAGAGAAGTATGTAATGTGTAATGGCAATTCCATTACACATTCTATATATGGATCTACCTCCTTTTTTTTGGATCAGTAGGATCTTCCTCCTAGTCATAAGTTTTTCTCATGAGACCTTGTTCCTACTTGTCAATAGACTCAACCTTTAAATATTTTATATTCATATATTTGTGAAGCTAAATTTTGCCTCTATAAGCAGGGTCACCTGCTTGTGATAGAGAATTTCAAGTCGTTCAAGCTGAATCATGGAATTATGGAGGCAGGGTATGTCAACCATCAGTCAGCAACTCTCAAAGCTACTGCATCTGATTTAGGACCTGTCTATAATGCACAAGATTTGTCTGTTTCAATGACAGCAACCATGGATGCATCAGGCAGTCTTGTCCTTGGTAAACTATATCCCATTGTTGAATTGTTTGTCCCTCCTTTCTTTCACCCACAACCAATATGTCTAACGCAATTAAGCTAGATATGGATAGCTCCAAGCTCCATTGCACCCCCTTCTTCCGTTTATAATGCAAAGGATTAATTGCTTCTTGTTTCTAGTTTTTCTCTCTCTAAGGGGTCGTTTGGTTGGGAAACAAGTTATCCAGGATTAATTATCCCGGGATTGTTATCTCACCCTCCCATAGGGATAAAAATAACACTACAATCCCGGGATTAGTAGGGATTGTTATACCGCGATTTTATCCCAATCAAACGTGGGATAAACTCATCTCAAATTTTATCCCTGGATTAATTATCCTTTATCCCTCGTACCAAATGAGCCCTAAGTTCATTAATTATTCACTGCAATTAAAGTTTTTCTTTAAATTAGTAATTAAGCTTATTTCCCTATCGATAAAAGACTGTTGATAGCCAGATCGATGCACTATCTTTTAGGAAGCTGGTCAGCATGCAGGAAAGAATGTCTACCTACTGCAGATGCTCCTTATGTAGAAGTCTCTTGTTTAAATTGCCTCATCTTAATTTTTAAAATTTAAACTATTAAATAGGGGACACTATCTTTTTTTGGGCCAAGCATGTGGAAATATGCTATTACAGAGTGATACTGAGAATTGAAATTAAGATCAGTTAAATTGTATAAAACTGTATTATCTAAAAGCTTAAGTTGCTAAAGAGGTGACACTTTTAGTTATTTATATAGGTCTACCACATGTTATGTAACATAGAGCTTTGCCTAATTTCTGATGTACTTCTTTGAAAGTATGGACAATCCAGCTAGGATATATCATTCGCTTTATGTCTTTTCTAACTTTGCTATTTCATGATATCTAGAGCCGTTTGGACAACTTCTGGAAAAAGTTGTTCCAAAACATATTTTGGTGAAAAAGTTAGTGCAAGAAAAATGTGTTTGAATTGTCGTAGTTCTTTGAAGATTTGTGGTCTTTGTTGAGTGGAAGAAAGAGCTTTTAAATTGAAAAACACCCTCAAAGCTTCTCCCAATTGAAAAAGCTTTTCTGTAATAACTTTTCGCAAAATCTCCTTTTAAAAGTCAACAAATATATTTTTCAAAAAAGTTTCAGAAATTTCAGAAACGATCAACGTCTCATGCTGTGTAACTATGATAGCTGGAGGCACTTGTCCCATCTTTATGGTATCTGGTAGTCCAATTATATTGAATAAAATCGTAATGGAAGAAGGAAATATCCATTTTGTGCTATCTTTTATGTCATCTTATTATCTTTCTGTCCATCTTTTTTGTCTTATAATCCAAACCCTTTAAGGTAAGTGTGGTTTCTATAAATGTGCACTCATGGCTATTCACCAAGATCTTTTCTTACAGGGAGTAGCCGACAGCTTGTTGGGTTTAACACAGAGGTTGATGAATCTGTCATCAATCACATATGGCAGCGGGTTGGGGAGTTCTTACCTGCTTTAAGAAAAGAGTCGCTTGAGGATTTGCGTCAAAGCGGAGAAATTAGAGTAGGATTGAGACCTTACAGTAAGTGAAAACCAGAATCTTTTGACTTGTTACTTCATGACTGAACTACTAAAATAATGCCGAAGTTGTAAGCATGCTCATGGGCTTGGCTTTATTTTGATTTAGTTCCGGACGGAAAGCCTGTCATTGGGCTTGTTCCTGGATTTTCAAATGTGTTTCTTGCTGCCGGGCATGAAGGAGAAGGACTGTCGCTGGTACTTTTCTCTAATCTCTTTCTGAAGATGAACTGTAAGACATTTTTTATTAGAAACATACTAGTTTTCATTTTAATATGAGTCCGCTTTTCATACTGTCTTTTCGAGTTCTTATATGCTTCTAAGTTGAACTGTAATAATCATAGTCAATGCTTCTTCTTACCAGGCTCTAGGAACAGCTGAAATGATTGCTGATATGGTATTGACCAATCCTTGTAAAGTTGATCCAGCACCTTTTGCGCTGCTAGGCCGGTGCTTCCACTGAGCAGTGAGCCCAATGCAAAGGTTGAACACTTATGAAGCCTAAATTTAAAAGCTTAACAGTCTCAAGGTTATATCACATCCTTATGTAACTGCTCATGATGTTGCATTTTGATTATAGCTTTTTGTCTATCATTTCTGTGCAATAACTGAATAGTGAGAAATTACTACAGTTTTTACTGGATGTGGATTTCTCAAAAGATAATGTAGCAAGGATAAGTTGATGAGTTGTCTTTGGGATGCAGTTCTTAGGTTCTGAATGAACTGATGATGTAGCTTCTATTGATAGAGACATGCTGGAACCATCCCAGCAGAAGACTCATCTTCCCGGCTCTCCAATCCTATGGCTCTTATGTAAAAATAAAAAAGCAAAATGCTTTTGATGTGATTGATCTCCGTATGGATTTAGTGCTTGCAATGCTTCATCTCGAGCTCTATCTGTTATAGCTCATGCATTGTGCATTTAGGGTCATTTGTTCCAGCTAGGAGTATTTGGGGTTGGGCTAAAGTTGGGCAGTTTTGTTGGCCCAGATTAACCCAAGCTATTAGATGGGTTAATATGGGCACAAGGCCTGCTCAACCACCCATCAATGAATATGTTTTTAGCCCAACCGCTTAAGTCCAGGGGTTGAGCAGGTTACACTTTTTTGGGATAATTTTGTCCCTAGTTTTACCTAAAGTTCCTTTAACTCTATTCTGTATAAAGGAAATAGTAAAGTGTTCTTCACGTGGTTGTGCTTCTTATAGATAAAACGCTCTGAATGTCGTAATTTGAGTTATGATATGTTTTAGCTCTCCCTGTGTTTATTTGGAGTTGAATTTTCTTTTTCTCATTAATTTGTCCAAACCTGTGTGAGCTTTAAGTACTAGATACATGGTTAAGGCTTTTCCATCGGTCCTTTTCTTTAAGTAAGTATTTTACACTCACTGATACAAGAGACTTGATGAGACACACTTCGACAGATATTTTATAATTGTGATTACATGGATATGCTATTAGGTATCCCTGTTGCTGTGATACCCTGGCCTGATTTAACATTGGAGACTGTAGGGTCCAGAAGCTTGTACGGGATATTGGACGGCCCCTGTCTGTTCTTAAGTTTGGAATCTGCATTTCTCTCCACTATCCTTTTATGCACTTCGTTAAGTTCCTCGGCAAATTGCTCTAACCTTTGCTTTACCCATACGTCATCTATCCAGTTTGGAGATTGTCGTTGACCCAAGTATACTTCATCAGATGTATGCGCTGACAGTACCTCTAATAGCGCCAAATATAGGGTAATCTCAGACCTGTTGGGTAACATGTTGAGAAAGAACTTGTCTGGGTCATGGAGAAACTCTGCGTACTCTCTTGTCCCTTCCATCGCGATGAAATTCCGACATTTGGTTGGGCGATTTAGTGGATGACCCGCATATTCATATTGTCCCAAGTTAACTGAAGCATGAAGACCTGAGGAAATCCATATAAGGGTTGTGAGAGCCTCTACTAGGTCAGAGACGGTAGTCATTGAGCTCCACCATGTTTCGTTACACTTGTCTCCATGACCAATTTTCCTAATCTCTGACCACCATTCTTGGATCTCATGGTCAGATCTCAGGGAATTATCATCCTTGTAGAAATATCGACAAAAGTCTGTTACCCATCTCTTGGTTGCTACCCAGATTTCTAGTCCATCTGCACCATATGGATAGTCTTCAAAGAGAAGCTGAACCCCAGCCAGGCATTCTGGGTTCTGGAAAGCCAAACCTCTGCAAGTTTCGATTAATGTGTTATTTTGTGGTATTTAGTAGTTTTAGCTATAATGTACATCAGCAGATTTAGTGGTGATGGAGGAAAATGTTTTCAGATATTTACTTTATCTAAAATAAATGGTGGAAAATGTCTAAATGTTTTACTTCAGGAAATCATTCTGGGATCATTTTCCATGTTTGTTCTAATGTAAAATTAGGTGAAATATGGTAGTAATATACAAGGTGGAAGATAGCATATGAAAACAAATGGTGTTTTAGCGATAATATTTTAGTATGAAGATTTAGAGTCCGTTTGGATTGGCTTAAAAAAGGTGGCTTTTCAACCGAAATAGCTTTTAAGCCAAAAAGCGATAAGTTGGTGTTGCCCGGCTTATTGCTTTTAGCTTGTTTTAAGCAGTTTTTGACTTTGCCAAACACTGAAAAAAGCTAAAAAGAGTTTGAAAGCTGATTTCACCAGCTTAAAAGCCAATCCAAACACCCTCTTAGTAATAATGTCTAATTGTTGGTCTCAAGATATGGAGCAAGAATTGGGATATCTCTAAAAGTTGACGACTTCAATAAGAGTTTGGATATCATTAACACAATGGTTTTCACCAATAAGTGAAGAAAGTAGTTTTCTTTCTTTTGATGGAAAATATTTTTCTTGGAGAAGCATTTTCAACAATTCAAGATAACCGAACATTGAAAATAATTTCAACAAGAAAACATTTTCCGCATACCAAACACTCATTAGGGCACCAAGTTCATATGTCCCGCTAGCATACCTTTTCACCAAATCACCAGGGAGGCTTTGTTCATCAAATCTCCATTCCTTATAGAGTGAAGAAGATAGCTCCATCGAGGCTTCTCCAGAATAAAGGCTCTTCTCGAAGATTCCTCCAGCTTTTAAGACAGTAATCCGAGCCAGTGCATTAGTATGCATAGTGTCCTTGAAATGAGGATCCAATAACCGGTGAATCGGGTGCATAACACTCAACTGCCTTCTGGTGGCAATAATGAATGGCTCTACAACTGCATGAGTTTTTAGCCTACAAATTCATAATGTCCATGAGTAATGTGGAAATTCAATGAATTGCTACTGCTACATGATTTTAGTAATATTACCAGTGGCTGATTAGCTGATGATAACCAGAGTCGTTTACTGCCACATGAACTTTAGCAAGCTGCCATAAGGCTGCCTCTGATCCATTGGTCCCTGGACGAAATACCCTGTGGATCTCAGTGCCAGATGACAGCCCTGGTAAACTTAGTTCTATTGCCAATGGCTTTAGCGTGGCATCGTCCTTTAAGAATAGCAAAGTTCTGGATGCATAGGCACATACACCATTTTTGTTTATTTTTCCTAAAAATGGCATGAGGTAGTCATGGTGGTCCAAGATGAAAATCCTCCATTGGTTCATTGCCTGCAGCGTTGAACTGAACTTATTAGGAATTTTGAATGTTTGTTTGTTCAAGCTCTTTCCAACTAAACATTTATGATTATTGCCTTTGGAGGATATTTCATGGGTATACTCTATGCTAAAGTATAAATGACGATGTAATTGGTCTAGAGTACGTACCTCTTGAAGAGTGAGGCCATCAAGGTTTTGTTCTATGTGTGATCTTCTTATTGAACTCCATATTCCATTCTTGCTTCTCGGTGGAAAAGCCTGTGATGTCAAAACCATAGCATCAAACAACATATGAAACTTATAACACGCTTATTGTACAAGCTTGCATATAAGATGTGTTAGAGTGTCAAGTGCTGGTGTGTTAGAATCTTGATTTAGTAGTGTTGGCTGTTAGTGCTAAGTTGGTCTCTCCTAGGTTAAATAGAAGATATGAATTGTATGTTACACCTACAAAATAAGTCTATTATATCTTACTAATGTCGAATTATTTATTTATTCTCTTACTTTCTCTTATTTTTCTTAGGAAAAAGGGTCAAATTTGTCCCTGTACTATTTCGTAATTGAGCAACTTTGCCCTCCGTTTAACTTTTGGTCTAATATTATCCCTACGAATTGGAGAAATCTCGTTTTTGCTCGACTCCTAAAGGAGCTCCAACCTAAGTGTAATTTTAAACCATAGTCAAAATTCGGACCTTTTTCCTCAAAGAATTTGGACACATGGATTTCCCCCATTTTATGTTGGAGCTCTATTAATAACGGGCAAATACGTTGCTAACGGAAAGGACATGGACGGTCCAAAAATATAACGGAGTACAAAATTGAGAAAATTCAAATAGTACAAGGGCAAATTTGGATCTTTTCCCTTTTTCTTATATGTTATCAAAGGCTCTGTGATATTGGTAAGACTTAAGTAACTTCTTCTTACTGGTAACTTGCCAAATTTTCTTTCTTTTGCGCAATTTTACTAGCGACAGCATACTTATTTCTGGTGATCAAGGTACTATGCCTTTTTCCTGTTGACCATATCGGCTACACTATGCCTCTTCCTACTGATTGCTCAGTCGGCACTACCTCTTTCCGACCTCTTCTGTTCACTATTCTAGTCATCGACCCAGCAGCAACTTTTCAATAAAATTCTAGCAATCGGAATTTTTTCAACAAAATTGCAAAAAAGAAAGTTGTCTCGAAAGACCTACAATCTCTTGGAATTCACGTTGACCTAACCAAAAATAGGGCACAATGGAAGAAAAAGATCTATATGGGCAATACTTATTAGTTGGGACTATGTTTTAGCCACGTTATTACATTTACTTTAGGTCTTATATTTTGTAGGAGTCTTTTAGTTATATATGAGATATAAATCAGAAGAAAATATAGAGAACTATTATTGTTGTTATAATTATTATATGGGTTTAAGATACGCTTAAATGGATCGGCATGATCAGCGAGAGAATTCATATAACCGACCCCAATTTACTTGAGATTGAGGTGTTGTTGTTGTTTGATAAGAAATAGACCATGGGTTCAACTCAACCCCAATAAGCTAGCTCATGAGGTGAGTACTGTCCGAGATCATATAAAGAGACACAACTATTTCCTCCACCAATATGGAACGCTTAACACTCCCCGCACGCCCAGAGCTGGATATCTGGAGTGTGGACAATATAACATGGGGGGCCAACACTGGGTAAACCAACAACAATAACAACAACAAACCCAGTGGGGTATGGACAGTGTTTTAAAAGGCGTTTTCGGGGCGAGGCGCCCCCAAGGTGATGGTGTGGGGCGAAAATCTCAAGAGGCATACGCCCAGCAATTCGGGGCGTACGCGCGTTTGAGGCGTGTTTTTTAGTGAGGCGTAAGCCTCGGAGACTTTTTCAAATTAAAACACAATTTGTTAAATAAGTCCTTCATATAATACCCAAATTCTCAAAAGTCAGCTTGGTAATTACTCAAAATTTTTTAAAAGGGACTTAAATGTATTAAATTTAAAAGTCAAAACCTTTTTTATTGATTGAAGCCTAATTTATTCCCAATTCTTTATCTTGTCCGCTAGTCTGTTAATATCTCCCAAAGGCAACGAATATTCAATTTTTTTTTTTACAAATACAAAGAAAACTTCATTCTTCTTCATAGCAGCAAG